TAAATTTTGGCTTTTAGTGCAGGAAATGATTTGAATATCCTTATAACTATCTTTAGAAACTTATATTACCAATTGTATAGTTTCAATAGTTGATTATATTTATGCAATAACTAATTAACAAAAGAATGAGTAATTAGTCAATGATTTAAATAATTCGTAATAATTTCTTTCTAGTAGAAGTATTAGGTCCTGAATTCAAGTTATATGACATGCGGGTAGGGTGGATTAAAGAATAAAAAAAGATTGCCTTACATTGTGCAACTAATTTTTTTTTTTTTAAAAGAGTAATTGATTTTTTTCTTATAGTAGACTTTGTTCTAAAAAATTGATTATATTTTATTTTGTAACTGGTTATATTTGTTGTAAGCAATTGTATTTTAGATTATAAACCAATTGTAGTTTGTTTTGTAATTATTATATTTTACTTTATAAGTGAATTATATCTTAGTTTGTAATTGATTATATTTTATTTTATAAGTAGTTATTTTAGTTTTATAATCAACAATACTTTACCTAGTAAGTTGATATATTTTTCTTAGTAATTAATTATGTTTTACTTTGTAAATTAACTAAAAGTTAAAAAAAAAAAAAAAAACAAACATAACCAATTATATCTTTCAATATAGTTGATTATAATTACTAAAAGAATTTTAAAAAATAATCAAATACAGTAATCTCACACAAATTATCTGTCCAATAATATAATTTACCATGCAAAACAATCTACCAAAAAAACAATCGGCCTAAAACCCAATCCTTCTCCAACTAATTAGGCCTAAACGTTTTTAGTGGAAGAAAGATCATTCAACAACGCAGATAACTCGAGAAAAAGACAATTCAAAATTTGGAGGTTAATGAAGCGTTTTTTTTTTTTCTGTTTTTGCCATGAGGTTAATGGCGTGTTAGGTTTAAATGAACTTGGAAAAAAAGTGACATCCATATATTGTATTTTATTCAATAAAATAGTATCCATCCATCATTAAAATAATTTATAATTGATTAGGTTGGATTTTGAGTAAATAACGTAGAGTTCACATAAAAAATGTGAAACTCAATGACAAAAATTTCAAATCATGTAATTAGAAATGGATTTCACACTTTTAATTAAATTAAACATTTATATTAATCACCAAGCTCTTTTTTAGGGTATGTTCGGCTCAAAGAAAACAAAGGAAGGGGTCTCTCTTGTTGTTTGAATAAGGGAAAGAATTAAAAACAAAAAATAAAATAAAGAAATTTTCTCCCTTTCAATTTTTTTTGATAACTATGTAGAAGAATTGTCTTTCCTCACCCCCCCCCCCCCCCCCCCACTCATAGAATTAGACCTTTGTTCTTTCCAAAGGTCTGGCACCAGCTGTTTGGTGTATCCCATAGGAATCTAGAGCTGCAATGGTTGACAGCAGGAAAGGTGAATCAATGATGTGGCAAAAGGACAAGAGGACCTCTTCTAGAAGGCGTGAAGGTGTTTCCTTCGAATGTAAGAAGATTGTTTGTGAGAAGGATTCATCTAGACTTAGCCAAGCCAGAAAAGCAGCAGGTGCAGGGCTAGCATTAATTTGTATCCTAGACCATGAGATGCAAGCAAGGAGATGGAGGCATTACTGAGGGAGGTGGGGTTCAATTTAAATAAAAATTAATTAATTTTTTAAGAAAATATAATTATTTTATTTATTTTCCTTTCCGTAAGAAACTTGACTAAAGGTATGATTTAGGCTTGATGAATTTGAAAATGTTGACATCAATTCTAGTCCAAATAACAAAGTTAGAATAATATCTGATATTTATAATAAAAGTCGAGAATTAAATTTCCTATTGACTATTTTTTTATTATATTCATTTTAATCTATCTAAATTGGAGAGGGAAGGGAATAGAAGGATTCTTCATTCACCTTCCATCCAAGCAAACAGAGCCCAATTCTTTTGCTGCAATTGATGACCTTGCAAAACCAACTAGGAGGGCTAGAGATATCAATATTTAACTGATAACAAATTAATTTTGAAAAACAATCATTTTGACCTTTTATTTCGAAAATTAATTGAGAAGACCACGTTTTTTATGTTACCTATAAGATCTCGTTTGGTTCCTTGAAGTTCCAGAAATGACACCTGTTGTTTTTTTCGTTACATAGATGTCACCAACCTATGATGTTGGGGTCCTTTGACGAAAACAATCCAATAAAGCAAAAAATTTATGTTAAAAACATGGCAGGTTATTCCAACTTGTGCTCACTCCACATGCCCTCAACGACTTCGAAATTAACTTGTCTATATACCCTTCTAGACGCCTACAAAAGACCAACAACTTGGACTAATTAGAGATAACCATTTTCTATCGAATTTTCGACCTTAACTTTACAAATGTGGGGGAAGTGGGCTTAATCCCAATATGGCCAAGAGGCAAAGTATGGCTAAAGCTTTTAAATGGTTTGGATTATGAAATTGATATCATTTTAGTTTGCAAATTTGGGTTCTATTTAGGTTTGGGATTGTTGCAATAAGGTTGTGATTGGTTTCTGGTTATGTAAGTTGTTGTTAACTACTATGTTAATGTCTAGGATACTAATTAATATATTCTTTGATTCAATATATTGTACAATATATTTGTTAAAAAATTATTATTTTATGGTTTAAAATTGAAAGCAAACAAACTTAAAAATATAGTTATTCATACAACATACACAACTAGTTAAACCGGTTATACTTATATTATATTTCAATAGGTAAACTAGATAAATGTTAAAAAACTGTGTTGAACTAAAAGGTACACCAATAATTTTCTTAATGTCTAAAAACTAATTTAAAGTGTTCTAAGATTAAAAAAAAAAAAACAAAAATAAAAAAGGTGTTCTAAGTATATGGTGATTAGTTATAATACCTTTTTTTATGAGAAATAAAATTTCAATGATATAAGAAAATTTTTAGGTTAGATGCTACCCTAAATAAGGAAATACACTAGAGGTATTGCACTAATAAAATGTGTTAAATAATATAATTCTTAAATGAACATTACAACCAAACTTGAGCACAAGATTTAGACATTAAGTCACGCTACAACATAATTTGTGTAGACAAAAGAGATAAATTAGTTTCAGAGGCAGAAAATTTTAATTGAGGGACCCAACCCTTGAACCATGGCTTGAACATTAGCACAACAACTGATTCGACCCTGACCAACCTCATGTTCATTGGTGTCACTGTCTTCCAATAAGATCGAATCTCATTGAAAAACATCAAGAAAGCAAAGGCATAAACTCTCACTAGAGAGGGAGAATCCCTCACAAGAGAGGAAAACTCTTGTTTTTAACCATCTACCCTAATTGTCAAGGGAGAGAAATAACAATTAGGTAAGGAAAAAACAAGAAAAAGAGGAGAATGAAGGTGAGAGTACGGGTGGCAATTTCCTTGATCTTTATGTAGTCTCATGGAGATCTTTGCCTTAGGGTAAAGATAAGAGGCATTTTTTTTTTATGAAATTTTACGAGAAATTTTTCTCACGTTACAAGTCCCTATAGGATCCTTGTTTCCTATAAAATATTAAAAAAAAATAAAAATAAAATTATTGAATCCAACTTAATTTAAGTATTTAACTTATAGTTATATACCATACCCATTACTTATTTTTAATTTTGACTCACTTCTAAATCCAAGTACTTAAACCAAACCCAACCCAATTCTTTAAAATGTTTTGTTTTAAGCTAATAATAAAATAAAAATAATTATATTAATTTTATAATATAAATCGACAATAATCCCCTTAGATATCGAGGATGGGGGCAAATTCTATATCCATAAAAAAATTCCCACAAAAATTCCCACCCCTACAAATCACAGGAATGGGAAAGGGAGTCATTGCCCTGCTCTGTGGGGCCCCATTGTCTCCCCACGGTGAGAGAGTCATAACAAAAAAGTGAGTGGGTATATGGATTAAATTGTCAAAAATTCCCGCGGAAATCCACATCCCACAAATCACAAGAACAAGGATAGGAAAGGCACAACCCCGTCCCATCGGTTCTCATTGTCATCCCAAGTGGGAGAATCATTTAGGTTAATATACAAAATGGCTTCTAAACCTTTTGTATTGGTCACATTTTGGTCCTTCAACTTTTTTTGGCTACAAAGTGGTCCCAAACTCATTTTTTTACTCTATTTTGGCCCTTTCATTAATAGAAATCATTAGTAGGCAATTTAAATCAATTTTTTTTCTTTCCTTTTAAATAATTCCTATAAAATCCAATATCTATATACAACTTTCTAAGAAATCAATATTTCAAAATTTACCAAATGCAAAAATTTGTAAAAGCACGATTATCGTAGTTAATTCTCTCTCAATCAATAATTGATCAATAAACTTTCAAATCTGTATTAAAATAAACAATATGTAAGCTTAATGTGAAACCAAATTTGAGTTTCTACAAAGAAAAGTGAGAGAGACATAACATAATACCAAGGAGAGATTAAGGGAAGCAACTACCAAGAAGGTAACCTTAATTTGACCTCATTTGAAAATCTTAAGTAAATACATCATGTAGGAGAGAGAAGGGATCAATGGCATTCATATTGCTTGAAAATTAAGTAAAAAAAAATATATCAAGTGTTTTTTAGTCTGAACGATATTAAATTGTAAAATATCAATAATTAGTTGGATGAGAGGGCCCACACCCTAATAAGGTCTCTTATCATCTACTTGTTAATACTATGCAATTTTGGTGCAATTAATACTGTAAAATACTTTTTTCAAAACAAATTTATTTTAAAAGAATTAAAGTTCCTAATTTTAATTGAGAATTCGATGGAAGTTTGTAACCTTAGCACACAATTTTGCTTTTGCTAACAGACGCATTTTCTTTGACCCTTCATTTTCTCTGGTTTTGACACCAAATTCTAAACCCATGGATGCTCAAGGACAGCCTCCATTTCTAGTCTTACTACAAAATCATATGCAAAGAAAGAAAAGCAGAGCTTATCTTCTTCTCGTCACATTTTTCATCAATTCCTCATTCATACCGAAAGCCCGACCCGGTCAAAATGGGCGGCTCACCAGCTCCCCCCTTCTCTTCCATGGCCTCCCTTCGCTTCAAACAACACCGACTAAAATATTGAAACAAAAAGGAAATCAACTCTGACTGATTACGATTAATTTGACATTTGATTCTATCAAATTTCATTTTAATCTTAAAAAAATGAAACTTTATACAGACAAACATTTCTTCCAAGTTTCCTTTGGTCTATGTTGCAGGCGTTGTTCTTCCACGACATTCGAATACGTTTTTACCTTTCTTCGGAGTCATTCTTGCTTCATCTTTTTATGTTTTTATTCTTCGATGGGTGTTTAACAGACCCATTTGGGATATTATGAATTCAGCGGAAAAAAGGAAGGATATGAGGAGGGTAGGCGGTGAAGCTGCCGGTTCATGGCGTTTTGCGTTGTTGGTGTTCATAATCCTGATTTCAGGTATTGGGTTTTCTTAAATCAGTCCAGCGTCAATTTTGGTTCGTGTTTTTCAATGAACTGAATCGAAAATCTTTCATGGGTATTTCCTGTTTTCGTGTTTTTGAATATTGAATAAGTTTTTCATTTTCCGAGCATGTTTTTGAGTTTTTCAAGGAAGATTCTCTTACTATATCTGAATTTCGGTTATTTACAGGCACCGTCGTCGCCGGAGATTCGCTGGACACGGACAGAGAGTCGCTGTTCAGTCTGAAATTATCCCTCGAAAAGCAGAACCCAGTGAATCGAGGGAGATACTCGGAATGGAATCGAACTACTTCCAATCCATGCTACTGGTACGGAATCTCGTGCTCGGAAAATGGGACTAGGGTCATCGGAGTACGCCTCTCGGAAAGCAATATCTCCGGTGAAATGTTCAAAAGTTTCTCGTCTTTGTCTCAGCTTCAGTACCTCGACCTCTCAAAGAACACAATAAATGGAGCAATTCCTGATGACTTGAACGGATGCCACAACCTCGTGTACCTCAACCTGTCTCATAATCTCCTTGTAGGAGAGCTGAATTTGTCCGGATTGACTAAACTGGAGACCCTCGATCTATCCACGAATAGAATTGACGGCGAGATTCAGTTCACTTTTCCTGCAATTTGTGACAGGCTTGTTGTAGCCAATCTTTCTGAAAATAATTTCACAGGTAGGATTGATAATTGCTTTGACGGGTGCCAGAATCTGCAATATCTGGACTTGAGCTTCAATCATTTTGTTGGTGGATTGTGGACTAGATTTGGAAGGCTTGTGGAATTTTCTGTTTCTCAGAATAATCTTACTGGTTCAATTTCTGAATCAACTTTGTGGGAAAATTGCAGTCTGCAAGTTTTGGACTTGTCAGAAAACAATTTCAGTGGTGGGATTTCAGGGAACATATCAAATTGCAAGAATTTGGTTGTCTTAAATTTGTGGGGAAACAATTTTACAGGGCTGATTCCAGCAGAAATAGGGTCCATTTCCACCCTTGAAGGGCTGTTCTTGGGGAGCAACAATTTTAATAAGGTGATCCCAGAAACCCTTGTGAATCTGCATAATTTGGCCTTTCTGGACTTGAGCAAGAATGAATTTGGAGGGGACATACAAGCGATTTTTGGGAGATTCACGCAAGTCAAGTTTCTTGTATTGCATGGAAATTTATACACGGGAGGGATAAATTCTTCGGGTATCCTTAAACTACCAAATGTTTCAAGGTTAGACCTGAGCTATAATAATTTCTCTGGTCCTTTACCTGTTGAAATCTCTCAAATGCCCAGTTTGAAGCTCTTGATCCTGGCCTATAATCAATTTGGTGGCTCAATACCACTGGAGTATGGAAACATGAGGCAACTTCAAGCCCTTGATCTCTCCTTCAACAGGCTAACTGGATCAATTCCACCCAGCTTTGGAAGATTGAGCTCTCTCTTATGGTTGATGCTCGCAAACAATTCACTTACTGGAGAAATTCCACCTGAGATTGGAAATTGCAGTAGCTTACTATGGGTGAATCTCGCTTACAACCAACTTTCTGGGGGAATACCTCCTCAGCTGACAAATATTGGGAAAAATGCTGCTTCAACATTTTTATTAAATCAGAAAAATAATGACAGGATAATTGCTGGCTCTGGGGAATGCCTGGCGATGAGAAGATGGATACCAGCAGACTACCCACCTTTCAGCTTTGCATATACAATTCTCACAAGGAAGAGTTGCAGAAGCATATGGGATCGTCTACTTAAAGGGGTAGGGGTTGGCCTTTTCCCAGTTTGTGCTGCAGGTTCTGTGGTTAGGACATATCAAATCTCAGGTTATCTCCAATTATGTGGGAATAAGTTTTCTGGGGTGCTCCCTTCAGATATTGGTAAGATGCAGAACTTCAGTATGTTGCATTTGGGTTTCAATGACTTCTATGGACAGCTGCCTGCACAGATTGGACAGTTGTCACTTGTTGTGCTAAACATTTCCAGCAATTATTTTTCCGGCCAAATTCCAGCGGAAATTGCCAATATCAAATGTCTACAGAATCTTGACATGTCATACAACAACTTTTCAGGCTCATTTCCAGAAAGCTTGGGCAGACTAAACGATCTCAGCAAGTTCAACATCTCATACAATCCATTCATATCAGGCATAATTCCAAAAACTGGGCAGTTTTTAACATTTGAGAAAGATTCCTACCTGGGAGATCCTTTATTGCGACTTCCGGAGTTTATAGACAAGACGACAAATAATGCTTCAGATGGAGAACCTCATAGGAAGCAGAGGTCTAGGAAGCTTGTCCTGTTATTGGTGTTCTTGTTTCTTACAGTGGTCTTCGTAATATTTGGTGTATCGTCACTCATAGTCTGCATATTGGTGAAAACCCCAGAAGGTCCAGAAGGATATCTTGTGGGGGACTTTAAGTATAGGCGTGATCTTGCATCCAGCTCTAGCGGATCGTCACCCTGGCTATCAGATACAGTTAAGATCATCCGTTTAGACAAAACAGCTTTTACCCATGCTGATATTTTGAAGGCTACAGGTAACTTCTCTGAGAATCGAGTAATCGGAAAGGGAGGATTTGGAACAGTGTACAAAGGAGTATTGCCTGACGGAAGAGAAGTTGCAGTGAAGAAGCTACAACGACAAGGAACTGATGGTGAAAAGGAATTCCAGGCTGAGATGGAGGTTCTAAGTGGAAATGGCTTTGGTTGGCCTCATCCAAACCTTGTGACACTCTATGGATGGTGCTTTGATGGCTTGGACAAAATATTGGTCTATGAGTACATGCAAGGAGGGAGCTTGGAGGATCTTGTGACAGACAGAACGAAGCTAACATGGAGAAGAAGAATTGAAGTAGCAATTGATGTTGCAAATGCTTTAGTCTTTCTACATCATGAATGCTACCCTTCCATTGTTCACAGGGATGTCAAGGCAAGCAATGTCCTTCTGGATAAAGATGGACGGGCAAGAGTCACAGATTTTGGCCTTGCAAGGGTTGTCGATGCTGGAGATAGCCATGTGAGCACAATGGTAGCTGGAACAGTTGGCTATGTAGCACCCGAATACGGGCAAACATGGCAAGCTACTACAAGGGGTGATGTGTACAGTTATGGAGTTTTGGCAATGGAATTGGCAACAGGGCGACGTACTCTGGATGGAGGGGAAGAATGCTTGGTGGAATGGGCAAGACGAGTGATGGGAAATGGGAGACAAGATGGATCAGGTAGAGCTGTGATATCGGTTCTACTTTTAGGGTCTGGGCAGACTGAGGGAGCAGAGGAGTTATGTGAACTGCTCCAGATTGGGGTGCGGTGCACGGTAGAGGCACCACATTCTAGGCCAAACATGAAAGAGGTGCTAGCAATGCTGTTCAAGATCACTTGCAGAAGGGAAGATTTCAGCTATGGTGTCCTCTGAAGGAGGGTTGAATTGAATTCAGAAAATGTCGATATGTTTACAGTATTAGATAGTTTCCACGCTTACATGTCTAATAACATAAGGTTTTTACTGCCATGATTCTTCGTGTACACAGAATCTTGACTATTCGCAATATTGAGGCTGAATTTTACCCAATTTATTCAAGCTCATAGAAATCTCTCTAATCTTTTTGTATTTATCTTTCGTCTGTTCTTGCATCTTACACTCCAGAGAAGAAAAAAAAATTGTTCTTGCAGTGTCTGGGTCACATTTTCTTGCTAAAAATTCTGAGTTTTAGGATTAAGACATCATTTTTTTTTTGTCTTGTACTGTTTATCACAAATTTATTTTAATCAGAGGTACAGCCTTCGGCCTATACAATTTTGTCGTTTGTTAGTGAAGAGAATTACGGTATCCCCAATTCCCCACAATGTGTCTTTCTCCTAGTCCTTGACAGAAACCAAAAAAATGAAAAAAAACATTGTGATTGATGAGCAAGAACACTGATTCCTCTCTCAAATTCATCAGTGATTCTCATCCGGGTTTGTTTCTTTCTTCTGCTTTTTTCTTCCTTTTTTATTTGTTTTATGAATGATTGTTCTCTTCCCTTTTTTTGGGTTCTAACCCTTTTGCTGCTGTTGAATCTTTCATAACTGGAATTTCTTTGGCATTGTCTATGGGTATCTCTTCTTCAATTTATTCTCTTTGAATTTCTCCCCATTATCCAGGAACTAGACCTGTCACTGTTACCTAACTCATTGATTTGTTGCCACCTCTCTTGATTTTGTATTTTTACTTTTATTTTTGATCAATGGCTTCTTAATAAACTTTTCTGGAATTGGGTGTCTTTTCTTTAAAGTTTCATTTTTGTTCTGAGCTTGATTAATTATGGTGCCGTTCTCATATGCATCAGTAAATAAGTATGAACGGATCTGATTTTGAATGTCCTGCATGTTACACTTGTGTGTGGCTCCTTGATTTAGCATAATCTTAAGTTTTTAGTAGCTGTATGGATTAGATGTTTACAACTGAATTAGTAAAATTTTTGTGTTGGTGTCAGTCAAGGTCTTTTGCATTAAGACTTTAAGAGTAAAATGCCAAGGGTGTCTTTAGATTATAGTTGTTGGTGTCAGTTCCATCTTGTGTGCAGAAGAAATTATGAAAGAGTGAGATTTTTTATCTTCCGTTTCAGGGGTTGTAACTTGTGAGTCTGGTGAGTTTTCTTCTGATATAGACCTTTTTATATGTATTGCAGTATCGCTTGTAGCTAAAGAAATATAATTCATTTTTCCAATAAAAAGAAACAATTGAATTAGTAATTCCTAAGGTATAGGGTGTGGACTGCCAAAAAAAAGAGTATAGGGTATGAAAATTACTCCTTTTTATTATTAATAAGACTTGTAAGTCAGAGTTGAACCATCAATTTCTTACTATGTATTATTTGTTTTTCCAAGTTACGGTAATTTTCATGACAAGTTGTGGACCTTAGCTTCTGTGAGAGCTTATTAGACAATTTTCTTGATTAGAACTTCGGGAATACAATCAATAGAAAAATGGAAGGCCCTTAACCCCTTCTTTTTATGACAAGGAGGAAGCCATTGAAGCCCAACTGAACAATTGAGTTCCTTCTCGGACTATGCATAGCTCATGTTATTCCATAGCTGGCACCACCCTTCTTCAATGTGTTAAAGGGGATTTTATAGAGTACTTTTTTTTTTCCAACTTGGTTTGATGTTAAGATTTTGATTGTAAGGAGAGCCTGCAGGTCTAGCATCAACCTTAGTATCAAACTATAATTTAAGGACTAAGAAGTAAAAACGATTTTCTGCAGTCAGTAATTTATCCAATGCTGTGATGGAGAATTCAGTATATGTTTCAGTCTTCCTTGATCATACACTTTGGCCCGTAATTGGTAATGTTTCTCTGTATAATGTACTGAAAAGGACATTTTAATTTTCTCTTTCTTGTTATGATTTTATTAGGTAGAAAATGTTCACATTATTAGACCAACCAAATCACTTCCTGTCCCAACCACCTCTCTTGATGTTGCATTATTTAGTTCATTTTATGCCTGGCTGTTTCTTAGGTTGAAAAAGGCTTGAACTTGGCAGAAAATACAATAGAGGTGGAAACGGCTGACCTGAGGAGGGAAAATTTTATGAGTGTAGAGCAAGCCATCCAAATAGAACTGGCATACAGAAGGAAGATTGCCATTCTGAATATGGAAACAAACAATGACAGTGGACAGGAACTAATCTCACTGCAGGTAAGACCTTGTGTCAATTTCCATCATATGCTGCGTATTAGCACAAAAAAGATGGCCAATTGAATTATTAACTTTGTAAGTTTTTGATACACTTTTGAAGCTACCTTTGTGAGATATACAAGTGGAAATGGCGATAGATGGATAAAGAGAGTTGTACCCATACCAAATTAAGTTGAGTCAAATAAGAAGCCAGGAGTTTTCATCCTAGCTAATTGTTTAGGGCAAAAATCATGCAAAACTTTGTGCAAGCAGTTGAAAATAAGGGAGAGAACACATGAATTTGGGCTTTTAATTGGGATGATTGTCTTTATTTGTAGAAATCTATATGCAATATCATGTTCATGTGATGAGTATCCACTTAGGTTTACATTCCTAAAGTAAAATCTGCTACACTTCAAAAACCATGATCATCATTTCCTCTACATACACCAGATGGATGATATATGTAAAGAGCTTAATTGGAACATAAAGAAATTCAAGACAACTTTCTAATTTTGAATTAAATAACCTTACTAAATCTTAGGGACTTTCGTACACAATTATAACTGGTTCTTTGCTAGTTACATCAACAAATTTGCTGGAGCAGTGTTGTAGTAATTTTCTACTGCCAAATTACCAGAAAACAATTTGCTTCATTCGTTAGGCTTGTCTCTCTTCTAAGTATTTAACTGGTTTTTAAGTATATCTCCATCCATTTCTATTTATGTACCAGTATGCTATAAACTATTTATGTACCAGTATGCTATAAACTATTTATGTACCAGTTTTCTTTTCATGGCACGTGCATTTGTCAAGTCCAAGTGGAAATCCTACTTCAATTTCAAATTCAAATCCTAGCCTTTCCAGAGTAAAGCAACTCGCACCACCAAGCAATCAAGAACTTCCAAGTGGCAATGCTTCTTCAAGGCCAGGTTCTAGTTCATTTCCTAGTATTTCGGGGAGCAAAGCGATCAGAACCATCAAGTGATCCACAATTTCTGCAGCCTCAATGACTGCAATCATTCACTAATGATGACATGCTGAAGCCTCAAGCAGATAACTTGCTTTGTGAAGTCTGTCAAGTGCCATGTTCAGGTCTCTTTAACAATAAGCAGCAGATAAGTAGTAAAATGCAATTTTTATGTACAAGAACAGAAGTTCAGTAGAAAAGATGCGGGAGATGACTGTTCAGTAGAAAATTAGAGAGGGAGAAAGTGGTGCGGTTTGTGTAGAATTTGGTGCATGAATGATGACCTGATGAAAGTTCATTTAGCAGGACAAACGCACATGAAAGAACACGACTGGTTAAAGCTTGCACAGATTGGTGAGATAATAGAACAGCCAAGGTGGTGCAAATTGTGTGGCATTGGGTGTCCTGATAGGCTGTAAATCCATATTAAGGCTGTAAATGAATCGAGCTGAGTCAAGTATCAAAGTGTTTATGCTTGATCTTGGCTATTGACTTTAGTAGCTCATTACTCAACTTTTTTTATTTTTATTTTTATTTTTATTTTAAATTATACAGTAAAAAATAATATTTTTTTATTTTTTTAACTCAATTTATTTATATATGTTGTTTAAATCTAAGATTTATTATTTTAATTAAAAAGAGATTGTGAATAAGTTATTTAAGTAAACGATAGTTTATTATTCAATAAAATATAATTATTATACATGACATTTTAGAAAGAACTATCTCAAAGCATATCTCTTCTTCGAAACACATTATAACAAAGACAAAGAGATCCACCCCAAAGTTTAATTGTTATTTATTTTAATGCAATTCAACTTTATAAAAGATTATTCAGTCGGAACCTGGCCAAGTTCATGTCCCCTTCCCTAAGGCAATGGTTCGAGCCGGTCCCATAACAAAATATTTAAAAAAAAAAAAATTATTCAGTCGAGACAACATTGGAGATCCCTATTTTGTGACAGATATCACCATGAGTCAAACCGTCAAGGTCAACGCCAGTAATAAATTTTGAAATTGTGGACTTTAAGACTTGTCTGGTAATCCTGACACCATTACAATCATTTATCGTATGGGTCTCATATTGAAAATCACTTTTCTCATCAATTTTATACAAGCCAATGAGAAAATAAGTTTTTCCGACTAGTTACAAACAAAAAAAATTGCCGATCCGAGCTTGAAATTTCCTTTATGTATACACTCCTGATTATCAACATTTCATTAAAACCATTTTAGTTATTTCCAACTTTATACTAAAATTGACCACCGAACCATCTTAATAATCAATATTTATCAATAGCATATGCCATAAGAGATCCCACAAGAGGACGGTCGTCCTTACTTCTTATGATTAGTTTTATATAATCTACTAAAATTCGTGTTGAACATAATCCTATTTCTATATATTATTATATAAAAAAGAATTATATTTTATGATTCGAAAATGGTATCAGATAAAAAAAATAGAAATTATTAAGAGGTTCTTAATATTAGTGCATTTAGCAATAAATTAAATAATTTAGTAATAATTTTTTTTAGTAAAAATAAAATATTTTGAATTTAAATTGCATGATATGTAAATAGTAAGAGATAAGAAATAATAGAGAATTATCTCTCATCCTATAATAAAGATAAAAAAATATTAATGGGTTCAATTTTTATTTTATGTTGAATATCATACAATAATATAATTCAAATTGTATAATAATGTTCAAATTTAAAAATCTGTTCCAGTTGTATAACATTATTAATGGGTTTAATTTTTATTTAATAATTAATATTAGCGGGTTTGTAGATTATATTTTCCTATTTAAATTATATCATATTATAAAATAAAAATTTTTAAAAGAGACTGTCAATACTAATAAATTTA